GGCCCCAGCATGGTGTCTCCTGTTTAGATGAGGTTAGTGGCCAGCTCGCGGTGTACTCCTTTTGTGCTCAGGTATCCCCGCTGCAAAACATCTCCTTTTATCAGTTACCTGGTGTATAAATCTTGTTAGAAATAACTCTGCTATGTATGGAATGCAGCAGCTGGCAGTTACGGGGCACAAGTTGTTATTCCTCAGCTATCAGAGCCAAAGTAAATATGTCAATGCTGAGTTCTGTCATTACCTTGAAATGGTTCGTTCATTTAGACAAGCTCTTATATTGTGAACTGGGCCCTGCGCAGGGGGGAACTACAGAAAGAATGCCACGGTTTTTTATAGACTGCATTCTCTTCATGTGATAATAATACGAGTTTTATGAAGCTCTAAAAACATGTTGACTAAACAGATTCTATCAACTGCATTATGGCAAGAAAGGCAGGTCCATTGATTATATCACCCAGGGTGACCCGGACAAATCCCAACACGCATCCTCCGGATTGATTAACTGCAGAGCTCGAGGTCTAAACATTTGTTGGAGATAATTATAATACAGCAGTTCTGTTCTATTCAAATAAAGAAATTGACATGTAACCTGACCACCAGACACAATCATAATACAATTCTATTACACGCTATACATAGAACACTACAACCCCCAACATGGCCGACCACTGGACACCATCATAATACAATTCTATTACACTTTATACATAGAAAACTACACCCCCCAACATGGCCGACCTCTGGACATGATCATAATACAATTCTATTACACTCGATACATAGAAAACTACACCCCCAACATGGCCGACCACTGGACATGATCATAATACAGTTCTATTACACTCTATACATAGAACACTACAACCCCCAACATGGCCGACCACTGGACATGATCATAATACAATTCTATTACACTCTATACATAGAACACTACAACCCCCAACATGGCCGACCACTGGACATGATCATAATACAATTCTATTACACTCTATACATAGAACACTACACCCCCAACACATCATAATACAGTTCCATCACACTGGACATACTTACACTCAGACTACCAGAACAGAATAATTAAACCTTTTATGCCATATAATATGTGACCCTGTTGATTGTTCTTTGATGCCCTAGTGTGATGAAACTGCTACTTCATAAACCTCCATCCATAATGATCCCTCTGCTGTATTGTCTTTTTGGAACAGGTTGGCAATTCTGCATTGTCCATTGTTGCCGAATCCGCCCCCAGTGAGATTGCAGAACTCCTACAAGCCCACACAGAGCACCGGCGTTCCTGCCCCGCCGCTGACACGGGAAAAGGAGGCCCATTGTAAACAAGGATGGAGGACAAAAGACTCATTCTTCTTTAAGTTAACTGCAAGAGAGCAGATACCATCCATCTCTGCATTGTCTTCATTACACTAAATATTCCAAATATGTGTATACATAAGCTGGGGGGGGGGTCGGGGAATAGTCAGAGGCAAGTCTGTTCCATCAGCAGCGATGATGAATATTGACTTGACTAGAAGTAGTATTCACATACAGTATTAAACACGAAGGGCAGTCCTCTCGCTGTCAAGGAATTAGAAGTCCCAGCATGAGGAGCCAACTACCCAGCATGCACTGCTCCCTTCTGAGGGGCCATTATAAGCAATGCTAGGACTTCTTATTCCACAACAGCTAAAGAACTGCAGACTATGTACAGTGTTTATAGAACGTCTCAATAAAAGGGCCTCTCCACCAAAAGCATAATTCCAGTTACGGGTAGATACAGAATCGCTCAGTAGCACCTTGTTGGGAACTCGAGATCAAGGATAAGGCAACCTTGGCACTCCAGTTGTTGTGGAACTACATGTCCCATGAGGCTTTGCAAGACTCTGACAGCCACAGGCATGACTTCCAGAGGCAGAGGGATGATGGAATTTGAGGTTTCACCACAGCTGGAGCGCCGGTGTTCTCTACCACTGCCCTAGATCATGGGATTCGAAACCTTTTGCAAAATTCTCTGCTCTACAAAAATAAAAGGAGTCAGAAAAGGCGAAGTGACGTTCCCAATAGTGGGTGGAGCTGGGAACTCTGCGGCTTCTTTATTGGAATCCCCCTGAGATATACAGTATGAAGCCAGTAGGTAGTTCTAACTGGGCTGCATCTACCCAAAGCTGAAATATCACTCGTGGAAGGGGTAACTTCTGCAGCCTAGAAAGTGACCTTCAGGAAGGAGTGATGTCACTTCCGCACTC